GACCCTGAATGAGAGTTTCTGAGGTGTGGCTGGTGGGGTTGAACTGCCAACTGTGCAGTTAGAACTCTAGTGGTTATCCTACAGTGCCACACCATATGTAATTGCCCTGGTGTGGCGCTGTGAGATAAGCGCTGCACCACAAGGTCGTTGTGAATCTCAAGACCAGCAGTTCAAACTCACCAGCCGCCCCTCAGAAACCCTATACAGGGTTGCTATGCGTCGGAACCAATTCGACAGCACTTACCAACAACCACAACAGCATATGTGTGTGTGTTTACGTCAAGGAAATGACTCACAGTTGTAGAGGTGGAAGAGTCTGGGTGAGATGAACCAAGAGCAGCAGGCAGACATTCAGGTCCTGTAAGAAGGTCTAGCAGGCAGGCAGGTAGGGCGGCAGGTCCAAAAGGCAGACAGACAGGTCAGCAGGCAGGTAATAGAGGAGACCACTAACTCAAGTCCAAAGAACTTGAGGCTGGAGGACAATCCAGATGTACTATACAGACTCAGCAGAAAGCAAGCAAGCTTTGCCTGAATGTCCATTATATTGGGCACAGACCATACCCACAAAGAAATATACTTTCAAACAAGACCTGCTCATAACCAATCATCATAGAGTTAACTGCACTGTTCATAGCTAGTCATCATAGAGTTAAGTATACTGTATTAGATCTCACCATTTGGATAGCCACATCTTAACTGCCAAGCCACTGGGAATCCTGGCCTAGTCAAGTTGATACACAACCTTAAGTATCACAGTCCACCCCTAGTCAACTTCACAAATATAAACCATATTTATATAAATATAAATAAAGATAATTGTGAAGTCATACATGCGCCTAACATTATACAACTAAAATGCATAGAACCAAACATGCACTGGCCCCATTACATCTTATATTTCATAAATTAACAAAGCAAAAATATTTGATGCACACATACAAAGCAAACAAACAAAAAATATATGTATGAGAGTGAGTCAAAAATTATCTGGATTCCAGTTATATTGAAACACCTGTCCATGTCCAAAACTAATGACAAAACTGAGTATACACATGAAATGATTCTGTCGAATATATGAGTGACAGTGGATTATGAGGCAAATCATTTGCAAATCAGCCATGGCTCTGCCTATGAAATAATCCATGATAGACTTGAGTTTCAAAATGTTTGTGCGGGTACTGAAACAACTTACGGGAATGCATAAAAAAGAAGCATTGGACATCTGCAAACAAAATTTGGACCGATACTCGAAGGAAGGTAAATGTTTCTTTAAAAAAAATATCATTACTAATAACAAGACATGGATTCATCTCTACGAGTCTGAGAGTAAATGGCAGAGTATGAAATGGAAACATCCTCAATCACCAACCAAGAAAAAGTTAATGAATCAACCATCAGCTTATAGTTTTTTTGGATTCTCAAGGGTCAGTATTGGAAGACTATGAGGAAAAAGGTTCAACAATCAACAGTGCTAATTACAGTGAGATGCTCACTGAAGACCTGAAGCCTAAACTTCAGATTAAACACAGAGGACTGCTGTATGAGAGCATTGTGATGTTACATGACAATGCACACCCACCCACTTAAAAAACTTCATTTTGAGGTGTTAAAGCATTCTCCCTATAGTCCTGATCTTGCTTCATCCATGTTTCACCTGTGTGGTCCCCTGAAAGCAGCCCTTCAAGGACAGAGATTCATATCTCTGATGAAGAAGTGAAGACAACGGTGCATTTGTGGCTCACACCTCAGCCTAAAACACTTTTTTTAATGTTTTATTGTGAGTTATGTGATAGTTTATAGGGGAGAACATTAGCTTTACATTCATCCTATCATATATCCTTCCATTGCCATGGTTAAAATCCCCTCCGTGCATCATCAACCAACCAAAGGGTATACCCTGCAAACTTGCCGCCTGATTGTCAACTCACAGCCCCTCTCCCATTCTGGGTCTAGAGCCCCCAGCCTCTCCATTTCTCCTTATCATCATCTCTGCCTCCATCTCTAAAGTCACTGTTTCTCTGGGTAGGGTCCCGCACTTCCATCATCTCCCTTGA